TCCAACAGTGGGGGACTCTCTGGTCTAATATAGAGGAAGAAATATAGCTCTGACTTCTTTGAGAAGCTGTTTAATCCTTCTAATGCGGGAAAGATGGTTGAATCTTAAACTTTTAGGGCTCCTCCTTCAAAGTCGGTTTTAATTAGGCACATCAGCTTTGGTCTGTCACCACCACATTTTTCCTCCAAAAAAGTATCCCAAAAGAGGACAAGTTACCCGATTATGTTTCCTCGGATATGGAATTAATTGGGTCTTGCGTTAGTCATCAGCCGATGTGAATCCACATCTTGTCCTTAACATTGTAGAAGAAAGATGTCACTTCAAATGAGTTAAAAAGATATAAATAACGAGAATATCAGCATAGAGAACAAAGTGATCAGAGTAATCAGAGCATGACTGATACAAACTTTGCAGTTTGTGGTACGCTCTCGAGAGTCACAGCATAATGAATGCACGGAACTACCGAGTCTCCTACTGTTGTGGAAAATAGTGTTCATCATGCTCACACTGATAACAAGAGAGAATGACATGTCCTAATGTCTGTACTGCCTGAGGCGGTGACCAGGCTCAGGCAGAAATGATGATGAACCCGAAGTGAAAAATATAATGAGAAACTACAGGATGTATCTGGGCACTGTTACAGGATGTACACACAGCAGCCCAGCAAACACACAAAAAAAATATTCAGAGCTACTGCTGCTTCGTTTTAGGACTGAACCCACAGTTTCCTAATTTAATCTGTTGCCCTGTCCCGAGAAAAAGACTCCTTTGTGTCTTTGATATGTAAATTTCCTTATGTATCTTATTTTCAAAAGTACAGGTACATCACATTTTTGCTCTCTAGCTCAATTTATTCAAAATCACTCTATTAATATTGCCTTCACGTGCAGATTTATTTTGCATTTTGACTTTTGTTCGCTCTGCTTTGAGGTGAAACTTGCTAATTTGCTTAATCTGCCCTGACAGGTCCTTCCTTTCACAAAGAAGGGGAAATTCTGTAGAAACGCTGCTATGTTTGCATTAACATACGTGGTTCCTCCCTTTTGTTTGAGATGTGTTTAGAATGAAATAGAAATCCTGCCATTAGCACTAAACTTTATGTTTAAGTTCCTTTCCCAACTAATTCACACCAAATTGTATAAACATACCCTGACAAGGAGTTCAGAATATGCAGCATTAGTGAATGAGCGGGATAAGCCTGCCTTTGAAGTTCTCTGTGTGCATCTCTCACTGCAGCTCCTTGTGGCTGTGAGGCTCTCTACTGGAACAGCCAAACCGTGGCTCCCTGCTTCCTCAGGGCTGAGCGGATTCTGCTGTGTGCAACTTTGGCCGAGTTAGATCTAAATAAAGACAGCTTGTCTTTTTTTTTTCCCCAACGTGTGGTACCACCTCACTTTAGAAAACCAAGCTCTCCTGGAGCCCGGGGTATTGTGTCACAGCACATATCTGCAGTGCAGATTCACAGATCCCTAGGACTTCAAAGGAATGGGTTGTGAACAAATGAAATGAAAAAAAAAAACAATGAAAAGAACCCCCCCCCCAAAAAATGGCAGCTGGTTTATTTTTAAGTACTTTTAATTTTCTTAAGTGTGATGTTTAGATTGACGGACTTACTAGCCTCTGAAAGACCTCTGAAGAGCATATTAAAAGGAAACGCAAGAACGGGAACTACCGCATATTTATTGCTATGGCCAGCAGTAATATACATTCAATATTAATAAAGAACAGACACAGTTCCATACAGCAGAATGCTCCTTCATTTATCATCAGCATCACAGCGTGTGCATTCCGAATCATCCTGTCCCTTCTTCTTGAGCAACATATGCCTGATCCACCCCTTCTTTAGTAACTATCATGCAATTAGTTGGATTTTCTCAAACCTCCCTAACTCACTGAGCCCCACAGGCCTGTAAACCGTACCATTCCATTACCGGGAGGAGTGCTCTCTCTCACCTCCCTGCTGGAGCTTGTAAACAGACGGCCATCTTGGCTCAAGGCCACACCACAGGGCCTGAGTTTTGAGCCCAGATGGTGGCTCTCTCACAAAGCCCCCCTCTCACTTCATCACAGTGCCTTTTAACTCTGGAACTAATGTGGAAGACTGGCACATAATGAGGAGATCTAGTAATACACCGGAGCACAATGAGGACAACAACATTAGAAATGCATTTGTGGTCAGAGGAAACAAAACAGATGCAAATTAAACAAATTCTTAAGGCTGTTCTAGCAAAATGCAGGAATAAAAAACACTACAAAGAACCTAGCCCAAGGTCAGGCCAAAGCATGAGCACTTGAAAACTCAAAATATTACAATGGAATAAAACTATGCAACAATGCAAGCCAATTGTTGTACCAACAGCTAAATCTCTTGACTTAGCTTTGCAAAGGAGGGTTAGGGAATAGTGTAAGTCGTGCAAAGATAACTCAAGAAAGAAGAGAAAAACATTGCTGTCCTTAAATCATACGTCACATCAAAAAGCCTGACGGGCTCTCTGTACTAATTTAAATGCACTTCCTGCACATCTACTATGCAGGCTTTGAAGATTTTATTTCCTGTGTTTGAGTGAAGACATCAAAAATAATAATAAAGTGTCATTTACGTTCTGTTTTATCTGTGTTCTAGGGCACTTTACCCTGACACAAACAGAGTGAAGCAACACAATTTGAGCAATTAAAAATGGGGGGCATGTTCATCCTAAATTCCTTCTACACCCATGGTTTGGAGAAAGATACTAGTGAGTTGTATTGTATCTTTCTCCAAACCATGGGTGTCATGTAGTACTCGTTTCTTAACAAGGTTTGGTCTGTTTGTGTAAAATGTAAAACATTTTACTTGTGCAAAATATAATGTTACACATGGTCCAAAAATGTGCACCATACTGCACTATACACCAAAAACATCCATGCTTTAAACTGAGAAGAAATTGAAATGTAAAGAGAAAAAAATTGAATACCAACATAGTGTGTCACCCATACTGTTAACCTCGGTACAAACGGTACAAAACACTCTTTCCTCCATACGCTACCTGCCTTGAAATCCAGCAAGCGTAGTCTGCATATTTTAATAAACAATCAGTCATGCCATTGCTTAAGTCATGACTTAAAAAAAACTCTAGTGAGAGAAACTAAGAACTCCTAAAGGAAAACACAGCAGGCTGAAACTGTGTTAACTAGATTGATCTCTGCATAAGAAGCTTGTAGTATTGTCATATCCCTTTTGGATAAATGCAATTACAATTCAGCACAATCTAAGAAGATTAGCTGCATTTGAATAGCAACAGACAATGTCAGGAAACACAAGCTCCAGAAGAAATGACTGTTTTATTGGCGAGCAAGAATTTTAATGAATTGTGCATGAGAGTTAAGATATAAACTACTAAATATTTAAATTAACATACAGTCTGCAGGACAATAAAGCAGGCTGGGTTTCTTGGGTTCATGTTCAATTAAATGATCATGAGTACCGGAGCTGGCAGAATTTGGCAAATGTCATCATTTGTGAGAGAAGGCAAATTCATGGCACGGTGAACCTTTTTCTGTCACTGTGTGACAGCGCTGTAGTAGCACAGAGCCCTGACTGGTGGCATCAAGTCGTCCAGCCATGAGCACTAATCTTTCTAGGCGACTTGATCGTTATGAAACATAAACACGACTGTGAATGAGTCATGGGCAAACATTTTGTCTTAAGACAAAGGAAATGTCCAAACAAGGACAAGGAAACCATGTTATTCACTGATGGGTGCTCTGAGTCAAACGCATCATTAAGTGATGAGCACGATGAGGGCAGCTGCTTTTCATTCTGTTTTGAAAACCGAGTGCTTAAAATGAAGCATTCTGACATTTCAGATTGCACTGAAAAGGTTGGCCCAAACTCAAAAGACCGTATGAAAGATTACAAACAACAGGAAGCCATCTGACACATTTATTGCTAGTGTACTTTATTGCTAGTAGGTAATTGATCTGCAATAAAAATCTCATCCGGCCACTTCTTAAAATAGGCTAGGGTATTGACTTCAACGCTGTTAAGCCTGAAGAAGGCTCTGTTGAAGAAAACTCAACATTTATGCAATTCAGAGTGGAATTAACATTAGTACTCATTATTGTATTTAAATAAGGCCTAGAACACCTTCAGGAGCAGGTCTGGCCTGCACTCAGTACTATCGTCTAGTTCACCTCCTCTTACTGCAAGTGACCAAAAATAAAAAAAGTAAACAGAAATACTTCCTAAGAAATCTCCCCTCCTTCTCCGTCCCTTTCTCCATGACTATAGGGACTAATAGGGAAGGCAAGTTCTACACGGGCAGCAAGTCACAAAATACAACATTCTTAATATCACAATACCCTCCTTCTTGTTAAAACAAGTAAAAAACAGAAAAAACAGTTTTCTGCTACAACTTACGGCAGAGTTCTAGGTTTTGTCAGAATGCATTTTATAATCACATTACTCACGTATTAAACACAAAATGGTAATGTTAAGACATTTAAATATGACCTACTTTCAAGACAAGGCAAATAAAAGGTACTTGTGTGTGATCTCAGTACTGCAGAACAGAACACAGGCTGTCAGTGCTTGAGGTGGGGGGTATAAACGTGCTGCACAGAGCGTTACACTTCGGAGCCTTGTGCCACACTGCTTCCTTCCCCTACAGCTCTTCTCCACCTGAGGCTGTTTGCAGAGGAGCAACCAGCGCAGTGAACAGCCCCAAATCCGAGAGGGAACGGCCCAGCGGAAACCGCCACGTCAAGGCGGTGAGGAAGTAACCTGGCCTGAAATCTTAAGCTTTCATTTAAAACAAAATGACACCTGTGCAGTTTTCACTTGCGCTGCGTCTTCCAAGAAACGCGTCGTCGCCGCTTAGCTGACTGACGTCACCCCCAGCAGGGCCACTTAAGGGAGTGTTCTTAATTGAACTGGCATTGTACTGTACTTGTGCTGTTCGGGTGAGCTGTTAAACAGAGAGCCCTGAGTGTCAAGGCACCATTCAGAAGAGCTGGGGTGTCGTCCCTGGCTAGGAGCAGGTGGCGCTGCACCGCACTAGTGGACGAAGCGGATCTTCTCCTACACGTAAAGCTCTGTTGGATCCACTTGGATGAAAAGTGCATGTTGTTGCCCGTTTTGTATTATTATTACTACTATTAGGTAGGGTGCACGCAATTATTAATTGACATCCAGTAATTTAGGTCCTCTTGGTCTACCTAATATCAGACGTCATGCAATGAGCAACAGAGCGAAATTCATGCACCGCCACAATTGTGGAACTCACTGTTTAAATCCGTTAGAAGATTTTAAGAGTTTTAATTTATCAATTTAATTTGCCCCTGGTTTTACAGTAGTTAGCTAATTTCCTGAGTGATTCTTTTTTTCAGCTCTGTGTTCTACTGTACTATTGCACAGTGTTTTACGCCTTCTTTACAAGTGCCGATTCCGAAGGATGCAATATTACAGTGGCTTTATGGATTGATCAGAAATCCTCAATTTCTAAACGCTTTGAACACATAAGCAGGTGATTTGTTCAATTAAGTTATTTATCGGTTATCTGAAATGAAAACACCAACAGCCTGTAGCTCTTGAGGATCGTAAGTGGACATTCATGACTTAATTGAACCAATTAAGGAGATGTCATTTATCAAAACCTACACGCTTTCTAAGCCCCTACAAACTGATGAATTCTGAGTGTGGCGCTCCGGGGACCACAGGGATGTAGACATTCCATACTCTTTGTTTAGAGGAACTATAAAGTGCATCGCAAATTTAAATGACTTGTTTAAAAAACGAAAGACCATCCAGAAGGGCCCATGCAGACGTCAGACTCATCTCTAGAGAAAAGCGCGTTGGATAAATGGTTAAGAGTTTCTCGCATGTGAATGCAGCAGCAGCACTGCTTCATGCCCTTGTGAAATGAGACACATCTGTCTTGAAAGTCTGTAACTAAGTTAACGGGAGCATGGCAGACGTAATTCATCTTGTTAGCACGCAACTCCTTCAGCATAGACAGAAGTATTGATGGAGTGGAAAAGGGGAAGGTCTGCACAGCTCATAGATCACACAGAGGGACTGAAGCGTGCAGCGGTCAGCTTTCAGCGCAGCTCTGATGGAGGAGTCGCTCGCTGCATTGCTCATCATCTGCTCAGCTGCACTTTACAAGAGTCCCGATAAGAGCCCGGTTATCGGCAGACAGTAATTAATTCCCACTTTAACGAGGGATGGCTTCATCAGGACCACAATTTATAGCACCGAGTAACAAAAAGAAAGAAAAAAGAGAACGAGCCGAGGCAACTAAAGCGTTGTGGCGGGACGCTGGAAAGCAGCTGCTGTGTTTTCACGGCAAGATGTTTTCTCTGTAAGGCGTTCCTGTCCGAAACGTGATGCTAATCTGCGTCTCGATGGCGCAGAAAGTCATGAATTACGGGATACAGGCTCCGAACCTCCAATCAAACCGGCAAGAGGAATTATAACATCTGCACAGACGTACACACCCATACTTACTCTGGATTATAGCTATGCCATCACATCACGTGAGGCACCAACAAATCCAAATAAACAAAGATGTTCTAATGGCCCTGTGATCCAACGGATATATAACAGTCTGCACAAACTTACGCCTGCAAGCAAGTACACATTACCTTTATAAGTTACAGGACAGGAGAGCAAAACAAAACAATATATTTCCAATTCATCTTGAGGCATTGCTTAGAAACGAAAATGATTTAATGGGATGACATAGATGCATAATCCTTTGACATTGCATAACAGCGTAAACCATCCTCAATCAGTCCTTCATTGCAAATTCCTTTGATGAAAAAAATATCTTAAAAAATTGTTTGCAGGTTGCTAAAAACATTTTTTTTATTAGCCAGCTTTAAAACAGCTTCTGGAATACATACTACTAGTGTAGGGCAAGCTGTGAGTGATTAGCAACACCACATTTACCCAAGCAAAGCACATCTTCAGTAGACAATTTCTGAACACAAAACTGTAACGACATTCATACAAAGAAGTAAAAGAAGTGCATCTAATGACAAAGACAAAAAGTACTTCTGAATCCTACCACCACTCACAGAAATAATCGAGTTTTCACTTTTAAATGTTACAGAATTCAAGCCTCACGGCAAAAAAAAACACCTACTCCTTCTGCTCTGTGAGCTGTCGAGAGGATCAGTTTCTTGCTTGGCTTCTTAGTACAGAAAAGTTTCTCTCCAATTTCGAAAGTGACAGCTCCCGGCCCATCTAATACAAACCCCTCCCCCCCTGCTCTTGAACAGCCGAGTTGTCACTACTGGGAAAGAGCCACAGAGGGACACCTGCTGCCCCAGTACCTGCAGGAGCTGCTGTCGGAGTCGTTCTCCTCCTCCTCGCTCCCTCCGACGTCCTCTGTCTCGGGACCGTCAGGGGCCTGTGCCCCCTGGCAACCCTCCGCTGTGAACTCCAGGCAGGGCACCTCCAAAGGAGCAGCCCCGGGATGGAGTGAAGGGCTGGCACAGTCCCGCTGGCTGGTGGGGTGAGGGCAGCCCATCGCGGCCAAGGGCAGCGGTACGTTCCCGGGCTCCAAAAACTTTCTACCACTGCTGCCGCCGGCGGGGGCCCCACCGTTAGAGGGGTGACCCCCAGCTCCCCTGAACCAGAATTCCCCTGGCTGCTCTTCCTCGGCCAGGCCGGTTGGTGGCGGGGACGTGGGATGGCCGAACCACCGCCATCTGATTCGCAAGATCTGCTTCACGTCAAACTCCTTCCTGGAGCCAGACATTCCCTCTACCGGGAGCCAGCGATCGTCTAGGCAACGGCACAAACAGCACTGTGAGAGGCTCCTTTCTGTTGTCCGAGTGAGCACTCTCTCTCTGTCGCTGCCTTCCTCTCTCTCTCAGTTGCGCTTGCTAACGCACACCCAGAATCTCACACACACACACTCCCAGACACTTACTCGCACAGAAGATGCATGCTTGTTTTATCTCCTTCTAAACAACTGGCTTATATATATATTTAATATAAAACAGGCTCTTTTTCCTAGCAAATGACTGACTATACAACTAAACAAAAAATCTTCTTTTCATCTAAAGACATCAGAACTTCCAGACTCAGATGAGCGCTGAGAGGAGAGTTCAGTTGACAGCTGAGCTAAAGAGGTCCATGTAACAAGGGCTGACCCTACCACAGGGGCTAAGGGTCAGTGCCCCAGCTTCCCACGAAAAGCATTCCAGGTGCCTTTTGAGGAGGCCCTCCCTACCCATTCCTGGACCGTGAGCTCTCACAGACACTGCCAGCCTTCGTCAAGCCCTTTCGAACGGGAACAGCAAAGCGCACACATCACCCACCCCCTCCTTGGAAACCACAAATGACAGAGACAGACAGCGGCTCTGATGCAGCATCGCAGCTCAGCTGCTCCTGCTGCCGTTAACCCTGTGAACGCCACTGGGTGATCACGTGCACCTCCAGCTCAGAAGGAGCTTCAGGACGCCTGCTTGAATACAGCTATTCCAGCGCAACAAGACCGCTCCCTGCGCCTCACTGACAGCCAGGGCATGGCCAGAGCACAAGCATATCAGGGGCTCTTCCAAGAATTCGATACGCTATTTCAGAAACAAAAGAGCACTGGTTTTGGGGAGGGGGGGGGACATCTTAATAGGAAAAAAGGGGATATTTTGTTTTACTTGGACTGGCTATGTCAGAAAAAAAGGGATCTCCAGCCAGTCCATGGGGGGGGGAGGGAAACCACAGAAAGCCAGACTCTGCAATGCACCACTCCCTGGAAATCATCTTTAAATGTTTGCAAACCTCTACGGACATCCTCACTCAGACAAATGCAGTCAATACTGCTCCAAACACTGAAGTATCGGCTTTCCTCTTAGCAAGGGCTGTGGCCACAATCTCCCCAGTCCAGTGGAGGGAGAGAAAAAATTAAAACACGGTGTACAACATAGTGTTGAATTGTGGCTTTCATGAAAAATACATCAGAACTGGATCAATAGAGCGCTGTGATATCCTGCACGTGGTGCTCTGATGCTCCTAAAAATAGCAATGACAATAGGCAGGATTCTGTGCTCCTGTACAGGCCTCCTCTAACAGACCGAAGGAGGCTTCGTATTTTCCAAGTTTCATATGCCTGTTTCTTGAATTCAGACTTTAAATGATTTGCTTTTTGAGTGGTAAGGACACAGTAAATTGAAGGTTATCAATCTCTATCCTTACGAAGTACTGATACAGAAACACCCTATTATGTGACTCACGGTCCCATTTTTACCCTAGGGACAGACATGGGCAAGTAACACACAACAACTCCTCCAGCTTTTCTTTCGGAACCATCAGTTCAGCTAGGTGACCAAAGTTAAAGGATCACTGCAGCTTTAAGAAAATCATAACAGGAAACAAAAGAAGAGAAAGCAGTTGCTAGCAGATTAACTTTTTTTTCCCCCAGAATAATTACCTGGCTAAAAATGTCTACTGCTTTCGAAGACTAGCATACAGCGATTCTTAACACGCTAAACTATCTTGCATTTAGGAGGAGGAAAGCAGAAAGGGCAAGCAGCCCACAGGAGCACTCACAACTTAAGAGGAATAATGGAGAAAAGCAAACTTATATCCCACAAGGCCCCATAAAGACACAGATTGCAATCGAACTGTAAGGGGGTGGATGAGGGTTGGCGGGAGGGTTCATGTTGTTAATTAAACGAAAGATCAATGTCGGAGATCAAACAACGCAACATAAAGAGAGACAGTCAAGTTTTTTTTCAATAAAATGACTTTCTGAAGCATGCGAAAGCATGAGTGGACTTACTCCCACACAAGTGCATAAGAAGGGTTTGCAAACATAACTAAGAGATCTGAGACACTCCACTGTTTCTTAACAGAAGCCACGGTACCAGCTTTGGTGTAGGTAGCTGGATAGCTTATTCCATATACCCACAGGCCCTTGCATAAAAAAGCGATTAATGTTCTCAGTTCAAAACGTACATTACAGTACTTCCACATAGTCTCCGTTCGTGACCTGTGCCTTGTGGCTTACTCCTGATTCTGAAGAAGTCCACAGGGTGCCTTTTGGTTCCCCTTCGACCCTTTCAAAGCCCGAACCAGGTCCCTGTCCATCTTTTTTGTTCAAGACTATTGTTCAAGACACAATTGTTGCTTTAGCTTTCAGAGCTGCATGTTCTTTTAATCCAGGGAAGTTATCTAGTTGCGATTCGCTGGATTGATTCCGGAGCCGCAATATCTGTGAGGCAACACGATGACCAAAATTGTAAACAGTATTCACAATGAGGTTCTACTAGTGCACTGTATCATTCTAACATTACCATACCCTTCAATTAAGTAAATTCCTGTTAAATATATTTTATCCTATTTTGTACTTCATGTTGCTTCCACACATTGTCTAGACGTTGGAAACGAGTGTCAAAATAAAAACCTACTATGTATTTTTCACTAGCAGCTTTTTTTTGCCATTTCTGCTTTTGCCCCATTCTTATCCATAGTTTTCGTATCTTAAAATGTTTGATATTTCACACACTAAACATAATCCAGGTGTTTGTCTACTCTTTTATAAATTAAGTTTTTCCCAGCAAATTCAAAAAAACAGTAAGTGTTGGTTTATTTTAAAAAAGGCGTATTTCGATTAAGACGTCAAGGCAATAAGGAAAGAGGATTTGTGAATTATCCTCCAAATACTGTACATGCTTCTCTTGTGGAGAAGACTTATAGACTCATCTATACAAACAGACTCATGTATACATGTCTGTCAGCTGGTTCACAGGGATCTGAATGTTCTCCTGATCAAATGCTGCAGAATGTTCCCTCAGTGTCTCCTGCACTGCCACTGCTAATTCACCGTCATTACTGAAGTTCAGGCCTTGAGAAGCCTCCTTTCTTATTTTAATCCCATTTAGCAAACATAGTTTTAGAACCAGCACTACGTTTTCACAACAAATTGAAAAACAAGAGTTTCATACTGTACCTCTTGGTACTGATAGGAGAATTGAACAAGGCAGCAAAACTGACATTATACCATGACACTAGGACATTTCATTTCACAGGTTTCTGAATTCTTTCAGGACACTGACTTGCAATATGGAAAACAAGGACAAACCTGGGACATGAAGTCTTGCTCCAAAAAATAATTTGGGAGAATACACTGATATGGAGCAACGTTTCTATTTTTACAGGTTTTTGTGCTGGAAATTAGAGAGAGGGGAACATCCAAGTATTCAGGACTAGATGCCATGTAATGCAAACACGCATATTGCATGATTGTTAAGTGTACAATATCTAACCCTAGGCCAGTCCTAATCCCTCAGTGCTCATGTGAATTTGGCAATTTCCATATCTGAGCAGCAGCACCTTACTGGATCAGAACTCATTCAGGTTTGCATGGTGTTAAATGGATGAAAGCACAGTGGACTTCACTGTAGAAAGGGATTCTATTCCATTGCACAGATTATTTCCTAGCACAGCTAGGTGGCGTAACTGCTGGGAGCAGTTGGCATAAAGCATCTCACTCAAGGTACAACAGCAGATGTGCTGCAGGAACGGGAACCCACAATATCAGTTATCAGACCAGTGATTTTCCCACTGTCCTATGATGCCCCCACTCATTTTTATTACAAAAGATATGAGTAAAGCATTTCGTGCAGCTTTAAGGCTCTATTGTGAAGAACAACAACAAACATTAAATGGAAACAATTCAAACAGACACATCCAAACTTCCTAACGGGGCTCTGAAACTAAGATTACTTCCTTGTGCTGTTTTCTTATCAAGAAAAAGCAGCTGTAATCTCATTGAGGGGTTCAGGCTTTATGACTGACGTTTTCCTTAAGCTTTCCACAGAGGGGATGATGAGGTGATAAGAATTCTTATGAGCAGTTATTATTTCCACTTCTCCTACTGCTCCAATAGGTTGTTGGGCTCTGGGGAGGGCGTGTTCTCATCTACAACGCAGACAGACACGTCTCAGCCTGGCACCATTACTGTGCCTTCTGTGAACACAGAGGACTCCGCAGGGACTGGGCCTCAGTGCTCAGGAAAAAAAGGCAGTTCTACATAATGCCACTCCCACAAAGGTGAAGTGTACATCTCTTAATCCTAGTTATTTCCATCTCTTTGTGTGGATACACTCCCAAGTTGACCGGCAAAGCAATACAGGAAACAACATGAACATATCTGTCTTCCTTCCTTTAACCCCGGTTAATCTTTCACACACATACTTCTCCCACAACAAAAACAAAAAACATAATTAAACAAGTAAGAATGTAGCTGTATGGTTGCTCCACCTCTAACTGAACTACAGCTAAAATACTGAAGTTGATCATTTTCTTTTTTGTTATTGCTGCTTCAGATGTGACACTAGAAGATTAAGCCTAACAGTACACATAATTTAATCGCCATGGAAGAATTCACAGTGGGGATCCTAATTTTGTGAGAACTGAAACATTTTGCCTCTCATAATGGCTGATCACTGCAAGAAACGCAATGCATTCTAAACCAATTCAAACCATCTGTTTAAAATTCAGAAGACATGGTGCGGCTGTTGAAATACTTATCAGAGGTCCTACACTCAGAACTGGAGGAGAGCTACCTGGCAACTTCATTACACAAAACACAATGGTGTGGGTGCATGTAGCACAAGTACTTCATACACAGGGCTATTTGTACCCTCGTTCACACAATTAGTATTAGGTACACTGAATAATTTATAATGCAGAGTTTGGCCGTAATAACAATGAACACAGTAATCAACATTGCCAAGGCAAGATACATTTAAAATATGTGATGTCTTAAATGTGACATAAACTACTGTTCTTTAAAATATAAATCTTTTGTATTAATTGCAAAAAATGACAAATTCAATAGTGCCAAGACAGGTTATCTTCCGTTCTGAAATTTAGCGAGACATCCTGTTCTGAACCTGTACTCTTAGAACTTCTTTAGAACAA